AGTGCTGGAGCAAGATGGTATCTCATTATTGTTTTGATTTGCATTTCTCTAATAGCTAATGATTGTGAGCATTTCTTCATATGTTTGTTGGCTGCCTGAATATCCTCCTTGGTGAAGTGTCTATTCATGTCTTCTGCCCATTTTTTAATTGAGTTATTTGTCTTTTTGTTATTGAGGTGTTGGAGTTTCCTATAAATTCTAGAGATAAGTCCCTTGTCAGATATGTCATTGCCAAATATTTTCCCCCAATCTGTAGGTACTCTTTTGACTCTTTTAGAGGTCTTTGGAAGCACATAAAAATTTAATTTTTAGAAGGTCCCATTCATCTAGTTTCTCTTCTGCCATTTGTGCATTTTGGGTTATGCTTGATAGTCTATTTATGCTAATATACTGTTGTTGTTATGTGCTGTCGAGTTGGACCCAACTCATAGCGACCCCTCCTTGGGCTTCTGAGGCAATATCACTATGGAAGTAGATTGCCCCATCTTCCTTCCAAGAAGTGGCTGGTCGTTTGAACCTCCAGCCTTCTGGTTAGCAGTCAAGAGTCTTAGGCTGTATTTCCTTAAATTTGCCCCCAGTTTTTCCTCGAGAAACTCTATAGTTTTAGGTTTCACGTTTAAGTCTTTGATCCATCTGGAGTTAGTTTTTCTGTATGGTGTGAGGTACAGATCTTATTTCATTTTTTCTGCAAACGGATTTTTGCCAGCAATATTTATTAAACCAATATTCTCTTCCCCACTTAATGGAATTGACCTTTGTCAATGGTCAGCTGACCATAGGTTGATGGATCTATTTCTGGTTTCTCAAGTCTATTCCACTGATCTATGTGTCTGTCATTATTCCAATACCAGGCAGTTTTGACTACTGTGACTGTATAGTAGGTTTGAGATCTGGCAGTGTGAGACCTCCTACTTTATTCTTCTTCAATAGTGTTTTGCTTATCTGAGGTCTTTCCTTTCTGTATAAAGTTAGTGATCAGTCTTTCCAATATCCTTAAAGAGTGTTGATGGGATCTGGATTGGGATTACATTGAATGTATAGATTGCTTTGGGTAGAACTGACATTTTCACAATGTTCATTCTTCCTATACATGAGCATGGGATGTTCTTCCATTTACATAGATCTCTTATGGTTTCTTTTCCTTTTTTTTTTTTTTTTTTTTTGAGCAAGTTATTTAAGTTACACATTACTTGTGAAAGTTTATATAAATCACCCAGTGTATAATTTTGAGGAAAATTTGAAAAACAATCTTTAGCTCATTGATGCAAATCTATATTTTAATATATAGGGGTTAGCATAGTTTGTGAAAATAATTTCTGATTCCCAGTTCAAATGTCAGTAATTGATATGTTCAGTTTGTAATATGAAATCATACAACCAACTATATTTCACATTTCAAGTACAGCATCTCAACTGCAAATTTATACTTAAATTTAATTGTAATAGCTAGTTTTCAAAGTTCACGTTAACTTTTTCCTTGATTATAAATTTTGACAAATTTTAGGTTAGAATTGTATTTATGTATGTTATTTTGGGGGTCAGTATTTCGGAAACACAAATGATAATGTTATTAATTTCTTTTAAGCATAGTATAAAGCATTACCAGAGGCATATTTTTGCAAGTAAGAGATGGTCTTAGCTAAACTGAAAACCTATGAAAATGGAAAATTTTAAGTGTGCCAAATTTTTTGAGCTGACAGATTAAACATCAGGTCTTTGTCACATCAGTTATATTTACAATTAAATAAAGCAGAAATATCACGTTGGATAATAATTATAAAAATGCATTTCCTCTAGAGGAAAGCTCTTTTCTTTTGCACATGTTAAACAGTGCGGTGAGTGCATGCATCTTCTGACCTACCTGTCTGCGGTTTGCCCTATGGGCCTTTGGGCTCACTATGGCGGTTTTCCACAAATTGACACATGATGCCAGTGCCAGATTTTTGACATGGATTTTCACCTGACAGCAATGAAGTAGCTGTGTTTTATTTCATGTCTTGTAGGCATTCTTTCATTTTTCTCTCCAATACTTCAAACTGCATGAATTGTGAGATTTAGTTGGCTGATGCATTTCTAAAGACCAGTACATAGTACTTTGTTTTGTTTTAAAAAGTCCCAACCAAGAGAAAACTTTCTCGAATGATAGGAATTATGTTTCCCTTTGAAGGAATATATGATAGTGTCTCTTTATATTCCAGGATATGTGGGAACCAAAAAGGAAACATAAGGTTTCTAGCTTCTAACATGTATTTGGACATCCTTTCGTGAATTACAACTGTAAATAGCAGTCCTCATTATTTTGAAATGATTTCTTGATCACATAACTTGCTTTATATTATAATTCCAGTCCATGTTCTTTGGATAAAAACCACCTGCTATTTAATTTGGTTTGTTTTCATTAGAAGAGGATACATAATTGGTCATAAAACTCAGATGGAAAAATCCATTAGTCATATTAATTGATATGAATATCTGAATAGTGCTGAAAACACTTGCTAAAGCTTCATTTAGCTTACTGGTAAAGTATGTCCATTCTTCTTTGGGAAATTCATGTTTCATGTTTCTTCAAGAATCAGTAGCTTCCATAATTGTAGTATGTTAAAGTATAATCTCCCCTTGTAAAAATGCTCACCATTTTGTTTTCAGGCTTTTACAGTTACATTGTTTTTCTTTTTGTGGCTACTTTATCTGGCATCTTCTTAGGGTAACGTTGATTTGTTATATTCCAGCAGAAATGTAGATCTCTTCCCTGGTTTTAACTCCTTAACAGTCTTAAAATTATGTGTTACAAGAACATCCTGCAGTTGGTGGTTCACACAGCTAGGGAGATGCTCGGTCAGTTGCCTTCTTCACACTGTCAGTTGTAAATACTGAATTAGTTGCTCCCTTGTGAAAAAGAAAAAAAAAAAAAAAGGTTAAGAAATAGGGTATCTAATAATTTCCAATTAATTGAACGTTACCTTAATTTTAAAACAATACAGTGTTTTCAAAATAAGCAAGCTCTATATTATTAGAGCTAGAACCATAGGCGTAAAATTAAAGGTTTCTTTAGAGGAAATATTCCCTTTTCCTAACAGAGGTTGTGTACATGATCTTATCAAACAACAGATTTAACATTAGAAATGTAGCCATGACAGAAAAGCTGTATTTTCTGAACTAATTTCTGCTCTCATTTTAGAAGCTAACTTGTACTTTCAGATTATGAGCAATTAGCATACACCAAGCATACCATCATTCCCTCGTCTTTGTAATAAAATTAACAGCATTTCCTGCTGTAAGAATATTGTAGCTTGCTTAATTATTAGCACATGGTTTGAATTGTGGCTGATTGAAACAGATTCCATGGTAAGATACTATAAATTTCCATTGATGAATTGTTCATGTGGTTGAAATGTAAAAGTCAATACAAAAATGTAACTACAAATTGAATAGTTTTCAGTGAACATACCCAATAATAAACTTCTCTGAAAACTGAGTAATAAATAATAACTAAACAGTACCTAGTTCTTTTAAGAAATACAAGCTTTTTTTTTAAACAAACAGCAATAATATTTAGTATGTCTGAAAGGATTTAAAAACTAATGTCTTCATAGTGAATTTACAAATACTATTCTTTATACTTAACAATGCATCCTGAAAAATGACATTTAAAATATATCATGTCTTAAATAGATCTAAAAAATGTTTACATGTTTAGCAATAAGTAGAATTAAGCAAAGTAACTCATACAATTTAGGCTGAAAATTTTCAAAGTAATTTTACCCCACTATGCTGATTCAAAAGCAACTGTATACTAGAATAAGGAGCACATCTTACCTCTGCTAAAAATTTGATAAATTCTTGATGTAGTTGAAGCATTTCCAGTTTTGATCGACTCATTTTCCTCACTTGTTGGTAGAGGACTGGGGGAAGAGGGTCATAAATATCTCTTAGAAAATGACCTTAATGAAAAGATGTGTCTGTGCTGTGCCATTGTTTCAGCAGTCCTGCTAATGTATAGAGCATGCAGTGCTGCTTTGAGGCTGCTGCAGTCTCTCACTCTTCCTGCTGTGCAATCAAT